GGATCTGTGGTTATGAACGGGCTTTCCTCGCCCCGGAGGACGCGGGCAGCGGGACTTCCCAGACGCGCCGCGGTCCCGCTGCCCGCGTCCTCCGCAGCTTTGCTCTGCGTCTCCCTGCGCGTGCTCCGCGGCTTTGCTCAGCAGACCAGGGAGATGCGGAGCAGCTTTTCTCTCCCCTGAGGGGAGGGGCGGCAGGACCGCGGCGCATCTGGGCATCCCGCCGCTCCCGTCCTCCGGGGTGAGAAAAGCCCCGTTCGTAACGGCGGATCCGACATAAGTCGGATCCGCGTAAGTCGGGGACTGCCTGTATTACAAGGTCCTATAACTTACATTGCAATATATTATATTTTGATTAGTATTTTACTGTGATAAATCCTACAGGAGAAAAAAGCTGATGTTCCTACATTTCTTTCAGTAGCCATCCAAGAAAGTAAGTGTTTGCCCCAGTATATACCTTGGTAGACTTCAAACAGCTTTTGTTGTTTTCATTGCAAAGACAAATTGTAAATCAACCTGTGCAGTTGTTTTATATTGCTTTATGTTGTGTCAAGAAAGTTATCTGTTGGACTGCATAATAGGAATAGGAGAACATTTGGGTTTTGAAGTTATACTGTGTAAAATCATGTACAGTATACATGTAGTAGAATCTGAGAGCAATGAACACCAGAGTTATGAACTGGCCCTTACACTGCATTTGGAACTGGAAGAATGCGATCAGGCAGCAGACACATAAACAAATGCAAATATTGTACAGCATAGTACAATGTTAAATGTAAGCTACTACAAGAATAAAGGAAAAGATTTTTTTAATTGACAAGGTAAAGAAACTGAAACCAGTACAGAAACATTTTAAATTAAGATGGTTAAAATCAGCATTTTTCTTCTTCTGAGTAAAGTTTTTTTTTAAAGCTGTATTAAATCAAAGTTCTCTTGTAAATGTTTTAAAGAGCAGCAATAATATTTTGTTCAGAGTTACAAACAGTGTTTCCTGTAAGCTGTGTGCTTGTGTGGCCACTTAGAAGAGATTCAAATGCCACACAGATGATTAGCAGACCACCCACGGCTAAGTTTTGTTACAATTGGTGGTGCACATTTGCACATCTTGGTGCACATACAAATTATTCTGCACATAGATGGAAAAATCAGTACATGGATGGAAAAGATAAGAGAAAACATAGGTCATGTACAGACTCCATTTCTGAGTCGTTCATAACTGAATTTCTACTATATTTTAGTTGGAAGCAAGTCAAACTATATGTGCATACAGTAAGCCTTATTTAGGTGGCTTGATTTTTTTTTAACTGAAAAATTTGTGAAAGACTGAGCAAACTAGTCTAAAATAATACTAGAGTTCTAGGCTTGAAGTGAGGAAAAATAAGTCTTGTTAGTTATCGCTGTTCTTATGCTCAAAAATATCAAAGTAGGGATGTTTATTTGACAGTATTATGCGCTACCATCCAGGAAAATTTAATCTTCCTCTAAACTTGTTCTCCTGGCTTCAAGACAAGAGTTCCAGGGAATTTCAACAGAAATGAATGAATGAAAGAGAGAGAGAAGAACATGAACAAATATTGACTCTTTCTGACTGGAACTGGGAGATGAGTGTCTCTCAGTCCTTAACAGAAGCACTGAGTTTCTAATCGAGAAATTGTAGTGGTATGGGATGCTGAAAAATTGTGTCCATTTCAACCATAACAATAGTGCTTATGCTATATAGGGAGACAATGAAGTGAAGGGCTGTTTTCTTAGAGATATAGGGAAAATCCACTTCTTTCCACTGAGAAATGGGGAAAATAAATATATTTTACTTTTAGCATTGCTATTGTGCTATCAGTGATACAAATATTATAAAAAGTGGTCTTTCTCTCAATAATCATGTCATTTACGGGGAAAAATCTCAATCTCAGCAGAAAAATTCCTGTTTTAACCGGTGGGGGAGGAGGGAGAAATCCCTAACTTTTGAATTTGTAGAGAAAGTTATTTGGTTCTGATGATGAAAAAATGTTTTTTAAAAGACTCATTTTTTCCTGTGTTATCTTGATCCTGGTTAATGTGCCCCAGAAAAGGTATGTGTGCAGAAGCACACAGAGACAAACCCACTGGTTTAATAAGAAACTATAAAAATGTCTTTAATATGTCTAGCCAAAACAAACTGTTTTAGAACTTGGTGATTGTAACAGAACATTTCTGGTAATTTTAAAGACATATGATGCATTCAGAGTACTGGCTGGTCATCAGAAAAGGGTTTCACATGATTCATTACATTTGGTTTGTTTTTTAAAGCAGCAAGTTAAGTCTTTAAGCATCTATAATCTGGTGGGAAGAGTTCTCTGTGCCTCATTCACTCTTGGAAATAAGAATCTTCTGAAATCCTTTTACTCTATTATTTTGTGATTTAAACTTCCTCCTAAATCCGAGGAAGGGGAAATTATACTGAGCTAGTGTAAAGCTAATATTCTAAGAATTGAAGAGAAAGTATTTACATCTGGATTAAGTTTAGGTTGGATCTTGGGGACAAATCAAGACTAGAGTCCAGGTACTAATTCTGTGGCAATGAAATCTTGTCAGCTCTTCTTTCAGGACTTTGGCTAAAGCTGGCCATCTTGATGGAAATGTTACAAGACCTTGGGCTGACCTTTCATAAGAATGGGAACACAAACACTAACAGCATATGAATTAGAATTGGAAAAACAGGCCTTTATGGGGTTTGAATCTAATCCAGAATGGTTTTCAGATCTGGGGCTTCTAATTTGATCACCTCCATCACTTGACATTCAAAGAGGTTTGGATTAAGGTGCCAATTTTGGCCCTACTGTGATTTTTAAAATAATTCTGAACAGTTTCTATCTATAATGGATGGGACATAACCATTTCAAATCAGAGTTCTACATTGACTAAACATTTGTAAACTGTGAGGAAGATGGTTGAGCCCTATGTATTCTAGCCAGGCAAACTGTGTTTCAATTGAGTTAGCCTCAAACCAATATAAATTTGGTTCAGCAAACAGTTTTTCTGGCAGATGGGAGATGGAATTTGTAGAGCCTTATAGTAACTGGTTTGGCTAGGAATTCTATTTGTTTGGAATTAAAATTCTGTCTCTCCACTTGAAGAAAGTATATGTTCAGACTGTTTGACTCTTATGGAGTAAGAAAAAGCAGATGGAAGGACTTTGAACATTTTATATCAGTAGTTGAGGTGGCTGTTTCACGAGGAAAGGATTCTGTGTTATTGTGAAAAGAGAGGGTGATACTAGGAATATTTAAAACCTTCTGTCTGTTTGTCATATTTGAAAGGCTAAACTAATTTGAAAGACTAAACTAATGATTCTTATTTTTCCCCCCAAGGTTTTGCCAATTCTTGAGATTCTCTATCATGTTGAAGAAAGAAATTCACACCATGTTTATATGGCCCTTATAATTCTGTTGATCCTTACAGAGGATGATAGCTTCAATCGATCTATCCATGAAGTGGTGAGCTACTGTTATAGATAATAACTTTTTGGAAAATAAAATAATGTAATGTTTATCTGAGTAGAGATAAGTTTTGTTTTACTGCCTACTCCACTAGGACAATAAGGGTATGTCGACACAGCGGTGCTATTTCAGGATAACATCTGTTATCCTGAAATAGCATTTTGCACCACTTAACAGCATGCCCGTTATTTCAAAATACATTCGAAACAATGGGCTTCTTATTCTGGCTTCCTGTAAACTTTGGTACACAAGGATTAAGGTGCACAGAATAGCAATTTATTTTGAAATTAGCACTGTGTAGACAGCAACAAATTTCAAAATAAGCTATTTTGAAATAATCTACTCAGTTGGCATAGCTCAAATTGCGTAGCTTATTTCAAGGTAAACATTACTATGTAGACGTACCCTAATTGTCTCCACAGCAGAGCTGGTTTACATATTAAACTTGGTTTTCAAGATTTGAGGACATATACTCATTTCCTACAGGACTAATTAGACCAGAGTTATAAGCTTCCTTTCAGGAATTTTTGTGTTGTGATGTGTACGAATGATTTTCCTGCCCCTAGCATAACTTTGGTTTTCTCTAGTCTGTCTTCTTTCTAGCATGGAAATAGTCAGGAAGGTTTCCTTAAGGATGCTGTTTTGCCAAGGAAAGAAAAGACATAGAATAATAGGTAAACTGTCTTATGCTTTCACAGCAGCCTTACTTAAGTAGCTTATATTTCAACTGCAGAGATTTTAGTGGGAGTTTTTATTTCCCAAACTGGATATAACTTCCTGACTTGGCATCTCTGTTCTGTCTTTTGGCCAGGTTAATATCTATTTTATATTAGCTGTGTAATGCAGTCCAATTTCTGATTAGATTTGATTGGCCTTGACCAACTCTGCTAGTGAGTGACTGGGGTGATTGTTCTAGCTTCCTAGCTTACAAACTCAGACATGCAAATGCTCTCTTGGGATAATGTGATGCATTGATGCATAAAGGAGATGTGAAAAGGTAAAAGCAGTTGCTCAGGTAGCTAAACCAATCTATCTCA